GCTGGAGATGCTGGAGGTGCTGGTGGCTGCCCTGCAGGAGCCGTTGGTGGTGCTGGTGTTATCTGTGGAGGGGCGGCTGGTGGAGGTGACGGTGGCGCTGGACTCGGCGCTTAAATGACAAAAGATAAAATAAATTTCTCACTGGAGAATAACTTTATACAATAATTTAATATGAAGTTATCAAAATAGAGCAGATCAATCAAACCTATTGCAGTTTTCAAGAGACGACCTCATAATTATATTCAACAATTCGGATAACGCTAAAAACGCATGTAATAAGGAACTGGTTTGTGTTTACCTTACACACATTCCACGCACATTCCACACGCATTCATTCATACGCTCGTTCCACGCATATTTCAATCATCATGATTATCTGGTTGTTTTGAAAACGGCGAGGATTGACCACGTGACTGGCGTGGGTACAGCTGCCTGCTCTTCTCAAAAGAGTTCAGTCATGCTAACAAACATCTCATGTTGAGAGTGAAATTTACATTTAAAATTTATGTTTAAAAGCTCAATTAGCATTCTATTTCGACGGTTAGGCCCACCGTCTACGCTAATCCGTGACGAAAACGGAGCTTTTGAAAAACGCTCTTCAAACCGAAGGAATTTGAAAACACACGCTTTACGTTTTAGCATGGACGAAAATCATTTTGAAAACGAAGCTTTTCGAAAACGTTGACGTCACGATAATGCGTTTTCCTCAAACACAAATCCAATCTGACCTGAGATTGTTGCGTTTTCAAATTTCTCCGGCATAGTGTGAAAGGGACCTCAGTTTAAGAAATTATCTTTTTGACCAAAACAAAGGTCATAATCTACCCATTCAAAAATAACGTGTTGCTCGCAACTTGGTCTTTAGTCGTGGCTTGTCACGTGAGGAAAAACCAATATTATTCGGTAGGTTCTGATTGGTCTTTGGTTTAGAGTGGTTTTCAATTGAGTCATAAATTCAAAACCAAATCAATTACCTACCAGTTAGACCACTAAGCTCTCAAATCGTAGGAAAACCAAAATCAAAACCAAAGTAATTGCCTCGTTACGTTAGATACTCAGAATATTGAATAATGTTCTATATCTAATTGCATTAAGATCAGCTAGAGGTAAATATTCCTATCACGTGATCTTGCCAAAGTAAAACCATACGTCGAAAAGAGTCGTTGCTAGGCATGGAAAGAAAGTGACGAACTTTGATAGATTGCCAATTTTTTAGACCAATGTTTCATGAATAAATTTACAACCTTATGGTGGTTTGAAGGTTTTACGATAAAAGGAGAATTTACGATGAAAACATTGGTGGATGGCACACTTTGCTAAGTCCATCTTTCAAGCCATCGTAACATCTTTCACGTGACCATTTAGGCCCTATTCATTGGAGACAAAATTAACATAATTCTGGGAATAAAGTATATCTTTACGATGCTTAAGTCCAGTTTTTGGCTTCGAAACTCACCTGGTACACCAGTTACTTGAACGTTAATATATTCCGAGCAGTCAGTTCTAGGCATAACTGAAATGGTTTTGTCACCATCCAAGTGAAGTATGAGCTGTCCGTAAAGATCTTCTGCTCTAAAAGTGATAAACTTGTGAAGGTCAGGGTTTTTGAACGTTAGTCTTATTTTGAACTCATCCCCAGTAACTTGCCATCCCGTTGCTTTCATGTGTGATATAAGGTGGAACGGATGACCAATCATGTTGATGAAACGAAGTGCAATACATTTACCTGTGAAACAAAGTGATATTTTTTTGTTTAATGGGAGGTTCTATTTAAGCCCTTATCATACAGGTTAAGAAATTTCTTCCGCTTTATAGGTTAATAATAAATTCACTTTCACGAAATAGTTGTAAAGCACCCGAGAGGTTATTGTTATAGATTTTCCCAATAGGGAATAGTACATTCAAAAACAAGATGCGAACGTTTTTGTCCCACAGTATGGGCAAAAAACATTGTGTTCTTTGGATGGCTAAGACTTTTAAACATTCTAAAATGCCTTTTGGCGTAAAAACAGGAATGGGATAACTACATGTAAGGCAAACTATTAGCCAGATTAAGAATGGGAAAGTTGGGGTTGACTGAAGAAAACAAACGCCCTTCGTTAAAGCATGTTATGAATAAAACATTTTAAAAGTGGCGTCGTTCATGACCCATGTAAAGTAATTATCCTGATTACTTCCTGGCGGTCCGGAGGGATATACAGGTTTTCCAGGAACAGTCGGAGGTGGCGGTTCCCCAGGTATACTTGGAGGTTGTCCTGGTGGCCCAGGAGGAATCTCAGGCTGCTCTGGTTCTTGTGGACCTATTGTGTCACAATTTTTGTAGGGATTGTCGTTCATTGCGTATGGGACAGCAATAAAGGAGCTTTCCAGTGCAAATTCGCTTGTGTGATTGTCGAAAGCCGCTGCTGTTTTCCACGAAGATCCAACTTTATCTGAAGCCGTTAAATACCAGCCTTGATGAATCAAGCCAAACGAAAATGTGTCTTTAAGATCCGGACGACGACCAATGTAGAAGGTGGCGTCCTTAGCTGAAAAGGTAATAACAATAACAATAACGATAACGATAACGATAAGGATAACGATAACGATAACAATGATAACTTTATTTAAGTGTCAAATCAAAGAATATGAATACAGATATTTGGAAGTAAGAGTCTTTCCATGAAAGAGAAAACGACAGAAAAAATAGAGAAAAAAAAGTTAATAAATAGCTTCAGTTTCTTTAAACGTTTAACAAATTGTATTTAGTCAGACAGCGATTTGCCCGGGAACTTGGCAGAACGGCCAACGTGAAAAATCGCTTCGTACGCTTGGCCCGAGGTGGGTGCGGAAGGACGAAAGGGGAGGAGAGGTACCAAACATCGTTTAAACTTAGAGAGTGCCTAAACCGCGTTGCCATCCTTGACATTTCTATACTCCTTCATAAACTAACTTTGGTAGAAAAAGTAACCCTTTCCGCATTTGTTTTCCATATAGAATGGTAGTTCTTTCTCATATCTTCAGTAGGCACATTGCATCCTTTTCATCTAACCTGGTTTTAGTAATCTCTTAAAAATACTTTGATGATTATCCATTCCGGTTCGGTGCATTCTTTTGAGACATTTTGAAAAGGGCCTTTAAAAATACCCAAACAACAGTTTTCCACCATCCAGTTTACATACATACCAACTCACAACATGCCTACCCCTATATACCTTCAGTCGCAAAAAGGTGTTTGTGGACAAGGCCTCCCTACACAGACCATTATAGGGACTAGAACTCCCTCCTTTGAAACATGTGGACTAACGTTAAACAGCGACAAACCTGTCATTATATCATTGGGCCCCGAGGGAAACAGTCCGTTTTGTTTTCCCTCGATTTTCCAAGGCTCTTGGGAGAACAAAACTAATTTAATTGTTTTTCAAGGGACCAGTAATTAAGTGTTTTGCTTTATAGCTGGAGTTTAGTGTAAAGAAATAAGGCAATATGAACCTCTGCTCAGTGGAAGAGCAGGCGATAATTGCTTGATTGTCGCACTCCGGGCAACATTTGGATTTAGGCATTGCCACGTGACAATAAATCAACCAATAAGAGTAATACGTGATCTTGAGCAGCTCTGAGAAATCAGAAATTACTTCTTATTATGATGTATTCACTGAATATTTACCAAAGTTTAAACTCGCGTGGGTTGCTCTAAGCATAAAACCATATTTCTTTTGCCTCAGGAAATAGCCTCGTTTGCAGTAGGACTCCAAAGAGATGGTGTTTCGATCCCGGCTGAACCCGGGAACATGTGCAATGAAGTATTGGCCAGTTGGTCCTATCATAAGGTCTTCACCCTTGACGTATAAGAGTGCGTTCTGTTGGTAATTCTGTATGGCGGGATGGTTTATAGAGTAAATTAGATACATCGCGCCCTGCCTGACTGAAAAACGAAAGAGAGGAAAAAAACAAAAATCAGCAAATGGCTTCCCACTTCTATGGTCAGAATAATTTGACCCTTCTAAAACAGGAACCTTCATCAGCTGCGGTGCTCCGTGCTTCTGCGAAACTCGCTGTTAGTTACCCTTTTTATATGCCCCGACGTAAAGAGAGTTGGATTACTGAAGTTCCGAAGTTGTAGAGGCACCTTGCATACATGTAGTGTGATTGGTTTCAGTCAAGTGAACTCTCGAAAGAAAATTACTTACAGGATTTTGCTGCTCCACTGCTGGTAACCTCCGTCGCTGCAGTAGCACTAGCTGTAGCCATAGCAGCTGCAGATATAGCGGCTATTGCTCCAGCAGCTCCACCGGCTGATGCTCCTGCTCCTGCTATACTTGCTGCACCTGCTGCAGCTCCGGCTCCAGCTCCGGCTCCGGCACCGGCACCGGCACCAGCTCCCGCTCCACCTCCTGCACCAGCACCTGCTCCAGCACCCGCCCCGGCAGCGGCAGCGGCAGCAGCAGCTCCACCCCCTCCACCCACAACACCACCCACAATAGGTAGACCAACCGTTACTCCCGCTTCTGCTTCTGCCTCCGCACCGGCTCCTGCTGCGGCTCCACCACCGGCTGCGGCTCCACCACCGGCTTCGGCTCCACCACCTGCCTCAGCTCCTCCACCTGCCTCAGCTCCACCGGCTCCTCCCCCTCCTCCTCCTCCACCACCACCAGCGCCTCCACCAGTGGTTCCTGCCGTGCCAGCTGTACCAGCAGTACCAGCCGTTCCAGCTGTTCCAGCAGTACCACCAGTCGCGGCAGTACCTCCTCCTCCTCCGCCACCGCCTCCTCCACCACCCCCGCCTCCTGCTCCTTGCGTCGGCTTCTCGGTGGGAGGATGCTGACCGAAAATGTTAAAAGTGCCACCACTCTGTACTTGTGCCATTAATATTTTTTGAACAGTTTCCAGCGCTATCATGTGGGCTATTCGTTTACCAGCCTCTTCACCAGCTTTCATCCCCGCCTCCAGTCCAGCTTTTGCCCCGGCTTCGGCTCCAGCCTTAGCTCCCGTCTTTGCTCCTTCCTGGGCCCCGCTGCTGGCTCCTGCCTGGGCTCCTGCGTAGGCTCCAACTGTAGCAGCGTGAACAACTGAATTGTTTCCGGTTATTACAGCTGAATAAAAGGGAAAAATGTGACGTCTTCAGTTCTTTTAAAAACCGTTGACTACACCTCGTCCAGAGAGTGCATAATCCTGTAAAAGAGGCTTCTCTTCTGATTTTTTTAAAGCCAATCTTGTAGCGATTAATGCAAAAAAAAAAAACAGTTACTTTTCGACCAAAAAAAAACTTGCTATAAACGTTTCATCGAAACCTATTATACGTCTGAAATTTGCTAAAACGAAGGACTATCAAATATTTACTCTGAGAAAATCCCTGAGTATACTTACGAATAGCAGATTCATTTCCACCGGCGTGCGGAATTGAAACACCTGGTATTCCTGACGGTATTCCTGGTATTGAGTTTTTTCTTTCTTTTCCATGGACTGAAATATGAATTATAAATGCAAATTCGTGTTAAGTCGCTCAAGTGTGATAATTTACACAATTAATATATTTGCTTGCTTTTGTTCTGGTTTAACCTCATTAAAGGAGATGTACGGCTGGCTGAAGATTTCGGAATAGGAAGACGTTACTTTCATACCTTACTTGCATTCATTGTACAGGTGGACTAAGTAGTGTTTGTAGTAACTCGTGGCGTATTTAAGGAGGTGTCCAAAACAAATAGATGAGTCAAGAAGTGTAACGAAAGCCTTATAGTTTGAAAGGTGTGGAACTTAACTCCTGTAAAGCATAGTTACTAAGTACGTAAAACTGTGGGAGGCAGTATTTTTACTTTGCTAATGATAAAAATATATGGGAAAGTATGGGATTGAGCACCTGACATCATAATAACGCGGCCAGTGCCATGTATACTTAGTTGTGCGTTAAAATAAAAAAAATAGTTAAAACTCTGTGGAAGAGTTAGCACAAATTTTAAATACTAAAAAAGCCATCCTCTCATGTATAGCACCTCATTTCGCTGTTAGAACTACCTGGAAAAATATTTCGGGCCACCTGTAGTGGACTTGCAAGACCCCATGCAAGGCAGCTGGTAAAATTCTTATCCGGTTTTGCTATGGGACCAATTCTTGGGCTACCTAACATTCAGTCCAACATTCCAATCTGCACTCTAATGCTGACCATTAGATCACTGCGCTTATCATGTTACTAGCTTTTCCTGTTCGCATGGAAGTGTTTCGCGCGATTAGTTTCATAAGTGGTTGGTGTTGACACCACTAACCTCCGGCCAGGATGGAAATTTAGTTTCCACGAATAAAATAATCCTGTCCTAACCAGAGTAATGGTTCTGGAAGGTTATAAACATTGAAAAATGTAAATAGTTTTCTGTAAATAGGCACTAAAAAGTTTTATTTCTCTGTCTTTATGATCCCTTATGTGAGCCTGGAGGCAAACATGTTCTTAAACTGCACCTACCTATCTACCCTCTCAAGTCTTTTCACGCTTGATTAACTTTTAATTTGTTTATATCCTTACTTTGTATTTACATCTTAGGCAGATCAAGATAGCTTAATTGTTAAGTGTCCTGACTTCAATCATTTCTTATAACTTGTGATAATTATGAGCAGCAATACCGTCAAAATAATTATTATGATACAGTTTTGCATAACAAATTAAGTAAAGCCTTACTTTTGGCTAAATAATAAAATAATTGCTCCCCCCAGGCCAGGGAATTGGCCAGGGCTCGAACCCGGACCACTCGACAGGAGGGCAACGCAATTGCCACAAGGCTAGCGTGCATGTTTTGAACTGTTAATTCTTGACTACTGAGTAAAGGAAATACCGTAAAATCCCACGTGAAAGTCCTGGGCTTATATAACTCCATAAGGGGTTTTGGGTGGACTCATAAACGGGCGGGAGGGGGACTTATATCCGGGGGCGCATATCAGCAGAATAAAAACGGAACGACGAGAAAAAACGTATCTGAGAAACGAATTGAAGCTAACATACAATTCCATTTAGAGCTGTTACCTTATTACCCATTACCGTATTAATCTACTACCCTATTAGCCTATAACCTTCGATTAAAAATTTTGATCTTTGTAAAAAAAAACGTAAAAGGAACGCACTTATACTTTATATGGACTTATATGAGGAATAATATCTTTGTTAGCAAATAGAAGGGCTTACATTCGGGAGGGGGGAGGGCTTATAACCGGGGGGGCTTTAACGTTGGATTTTACGGTATTGATAACGATAAATTTAATTCTTTGAATTCTAAGTACCCGATGCTTCAAAATGCCAGGATTGTGTTGAATTATTGCTTTTTTTTTTGTAATTTGCCATAGTGAAAGAACATGACTGCATTTGCTAGATGAGGTTCACTGGTTTTTCAGTGTTTACCGTTGTGAGCTACACTCCATAAATAAAGTTGATTATTATTATTATTATTATTATTACTATTATTAAAAGGTGCAAGTTTGGCTTCCTTTTATTTTGTGCCAAGCCAAGATTAATACTTACGTCTAAAATTTGTGACATTTAATTTAGCAGTATACAACTCGGACCACAGAAGCTTAACAGGTAAGACTCCCCCCTGCAATATAACTGTCCACGCTGAGGAAATGTTCATCATTACACGGAAAGAGTTAACTTTACTTTGAAACCTGGATTAAAATTCAGTTACTAATTAAGGGATGAAACTTCATTTTTTGGCTGCACCGAGGGACACCTGTGATTACATTACTTGTGATTGTTAGAAACGTAGACTCGATGACAGAAATTCTACCCAAACTAATGAACTGCAGATCAACGGTTAAATGTTTTGGCTGACAGGTTAGTCTCAGATTCCGTAAAATATATGGCCACCCGTGATCCAAGCGTAACTAATAACCTTCTCTCTTTATTTGAAAACACTCTAAGCTGCAATGTTTACTCTCTTTTAACGGGGTAAGTACCTTTGAAGGACAAATAAGAAAATGGACTATGTGGAGAGCCCGTGCTCTAGTTTCTGGGAACGATAAAACTGGATTGTTTGTGGCAGGTATAAGCCATTTAGGTCGGTTAAAAACGTCGCCATTTATCTGACATCTTTGAGAGAAGCCAAATCGCCTCCGGCTATGGTCAGAAGTGTTTATCATTTTGTACTGTTTACAATTTCAGTTTATTTTAGGAATCTTCCAGGTGTAAGAACCAGTGATTCAAACCAAGCAAAAACTTCCACCTACCAATCGCACGGTGTCTTGCTCCATTGAAACGGCCGTGTGGTTTGGGCTTTCTTCCAGCACTGATCAGCGTCAATGTTAAAACGATGAACGCACAGAAACCTCGAAGAATTTTCATCTCTTAAACGCCTATCTTTTCAAAAAACGCATCAATGTACAGAAAGCCAACATGGAAATTACCAAGAAATAATAGATATGACAATATTTGCGCTGAATTTCAAAGCAATGTCGGCTCGCGGGGGTGGATAAGTGAAACGTCGTTACCTGCTGAGATTCATTCTCCTGTCGTCTTTGAGTGACGTAATCATACCGTGGTATCAGTTTTGGTTTGCCAGACTTTCTTCATCAGCTAAACGTCATTAAAAACATACTTTATGCGAATAGGTCCTTTTTTAAATTCTTTGTAACTTCTTCCGTCTCAGATTGCGGGTTATTCAGCGATCTTTCTTGGGGAAGTTATGTTGCGCTCTTTAATGAAAAAAGCATCTCAATTATTCTTTTTGGCATAGCACCGGTCGTCTATTGTTTGATACCTGCTCGTTCCTGTTCTTTCCATTCATTTAATTATTCAAGCAGTTGCAAACGACAGTGTAGACGAAACATCGGTTTTTTTTTAAACGTTATCTCAAACAGTCGATGTTCTCCAAAATGGTTTTTGCTGTGGTTGTTGTAAGTTTAGTTTTCAGGAAAGCGTTTAAAGATGAGAAGTTTTTGACGCTTAAAATGCCACTTTAAAAGAGAATAAATATGGGCTATTCAAATATATTTTGCTCCTATCACTAACAACACTAACTATTGTCAGGTAGTGAATGAGGTCAAGAGCCCGTGAGATAAGTATCTTTGATGTTATGCTGAGAGGGCACATATATGACAATATTTCCAGACTGCGGAACACACTTTTCAACCACAATATGTTCAATGGAGAAATAATCACTGCGTAAAATAAACAATTCAGTTACAATGGCTACCTGTTGCACTATTTCGCATCTTTTCAGACCAACACTTTGCAGCACATAAACAGAATTTTTCTTTTATATTATAGACTTTTAACCAGTATCATCGGGGGGTAATGGGCAGTAATATTCTGGCGACTCATAAAACCAGACATTGAATAAAGTACCTTGTTTAGCAAGATGTCGAGAACATTAAAAAACCCCAAACTTCTAGTGAAATCTCTTTAAAAAGACCCTTTTTAGCACTTAAGATTCTGAAGGCGCTTGTGACCTTCTCGCTTGAGTGCACTTACCAAGGTCCAGGGAACTTGCAGCTGGGCTTCACGGTTTATACCATGACATAGAAAATACAGCCAATCAGAATAAAGGAAAGCCGTTGTACATTCCGCGGTATTACACCCAGCCTTCCCGTCGTGCATTACGCGTATGTTTCATTGATTTTGTTGACCAAAGTATTTCAGTTCTATTGCATGGTATATAAAATAGTTATAGAACGCTCTCTCTTGGTACACCTTGGAATATCTCATTTGTCACTTGTAAACAAATACAAGTACATCGTGGGATATATCATGGTATACCACTCGAAAACGTTACATAACTAGTATTTATTCGACAATTTGTTCCAAGACGTTCTGATTAACAAGTATAGACTAAGAACCCTGGTTTTACCTGACTGAGTCACTATATACTCGTAATTGTCCAGAAATGATCATTGCGTGGCGCGATCTTGCCCGGGTACTATCGGGGGTTTTAGTTCACCACGAAATTTTCTCCGACTCTTATTGGTTAAAATTGTTCACGTGACGCAATAGTGTTCATCTGCAGAGAGATTCCATCAGCCCTTATAGTCCACCACTAATTTTTCTCCGATTATTAGTTTAAACTGATCACGTGACGCGATAGTGTTCATCCGCGGCGAGACATCAACCCAAAGCGCCCGTCCGAGGAAAATACCCGGATGGATGGTACTCGTCCGTGAAAATTTTTCTGCAAACAAGCAGGCTTATAGAAAATAAACGATTGAAATTGTGGGTTTGAAAGTGGGTTTTTGTCTGTTTTCTTTTTCTAATTTTACATTTGGCGTTCACAGGTTTCATCTAAAAAAGTTGAAAATAATTCAATAAAATTTTTGAACTGGCGCTTAGTGGTGAACAATAAAGACAATAGGGTACTTACATGTATGTCTCGGAACTATCGGTCTTATAGTTGCCCCTTGGAAATTTGATGTTCTTAAAACTAACGTATTTGCCCGAGAAGGGAAGCTTGTAAGAACATCAAAGGTGCGATTAGGTGTAATCCCAGTTTCTAAGTCCTCTAATTTCTTTAGATCTTCGGAAGCGGGAACAAGTTAAAATGAAAACCGTGGCGGGTTGAAAGAGAGAAAATCCAAGATGGTGGTGGTTGTGGGAAGAAGAAGGAAACAGTAACGGCTCAGGTGGAAAAAATACTTATTCAGCGGACTTGAAAATGGTCTGAACCGTATCACACAGCTTTTTTCCTCAGTCTGAAAGAAAGAGCTGGAATTAAAGAGCTGGACCAAAATACTCGAACTATTGCCTTCTTTTATTTCCTATCCTACTGATCTCCTCTCATTTAGAAAACACTGCATTTACTTTAATTGATGTGGTCAAGTTGTATCCCTCAAGTGGACTTTGGATTGAGCGGTCCGAATACGAGGCCGGGTTGTGGTCATAGTGAATTTTTCTTGAATAGGACACTTACCCTCTATCTCTCTCCAGGGGTATAAATGAGTACTGGTGCATTAAAAACGTCACACAAAAACTGTATAAATTTAATCAAACAACTGATTTCCACGAGCAGGGAGCACATAAAAATAGAATATAATTACCAGAAATGCAATTTCCGAAAATTCCACAATACGCCTTGTAGCACGCGCTGGGGCTTTATATGTTACTACAATCGTGGACTAAAGTCCTTGGGACACTTATGTAGTTTAACGAATTGTATGCGTGCGCGTTTTGCTACTGAAGTTTGAAAAAAGCGCTGCTTTCCTTTCAAAAATGCGTTACTGTTCCCCCTCCCCACCCAGGTGAAGTTGTATTCGCGTCTGGCGTGTGTGCAAAAGTGCCAAAAGTGCAAATTTGTCCCAAGAGGTTTGTCCATGATTGTAGGTTCTACGCATACTTTGTCTTTGCCTTATTTGTTGAGGCTATCATAAAGAAAATTGCCACACAAACTGGAAAAAAATACGAGTTTATTTCAACATAATTCCATAAAACTAGACACTGTCGTCACGAGGGCTTCCTCATTGTTGAGGCTCACCGAACTTGGTCAGGGTTCTGTCGGTGAAAATCCAGAAAGGGGTCCCATGCCAATAAGGAATGATCTTCGGGAATTGTAAAAACCACCATAGAAGACTACCAGAACCTTTTTTTGGGGGTTCAAGTAGTTTCTTATTTCTTCGAAATATCAGTGCAGACTCTTAATTATTAGTGCCAGGAAGCGATACTGCCTATGCCGTCAAGAGCCGTGTCGCAGAAAAAATATCTTTTGATAAAAATAAGTTTATGCTCATTTGCGGCTGATTCTAGGAACCTACCATAATACATTTATGTAGAAGTTGTTAAAATTTGAGAAAGAACATCCTTAGAAGGTACAAAGAAAAACAACTTCATCCAATGCCATGTAGAGATTTCCCTTGGGGTAAAATGCATCAACGTAACCGTTGTTGACGCTTGTTATATCCAAAATAATTTAAGTTGTTTTCATGGTTACACGTAAATGAAGCTCATTTTACACACACTGCGCGCTGTCTCTGTTGATACGTATGTGCATCCATGGCCACTTATCCAGTCTGCTACTGACTTCTGACATTTCTTGGTCGATCCCTTGGAAGCGAATAGCTTAAAAATCGCGCGTTTAAGGTTTCCATCAGCCAATCTGAATGAAAAGAAAAAAAAACAAGAAAAAACAAACCAGATTTAGTAGGATCTGCGTTACTAAAGCGTGAAGTAGAAGAAGAGACGCCGAGAACTCTACAACTATTGCAACTTTATCAAATAACTATTTCTCATTCGCCGAAATGAGTTGTCAACATTGATAAAAATGATGTTTAGAAAATCCTATTCACTGAATCAGGGTACAAATTAAAGGTTGGAGCTCTTACCCGCGGGATCCGTTACTCACCATTTGCAGTAACCCCACCTTCTGTCTACATCAAACACTTTAGTCACTGAACACCATTTCTTGACGGCATTTTGAGCTGTGCATCTCCAGTACACCGCTCCCTTGTAAATAAAGGGAAACTTACAACAGGCACCCTGAGCATTTCCTCCAACTGTAACGACGCCAACTTTACAAGCTTATAAAGGACAAGACAAAACGAAAGCATTTCAGCTATGGTGTTCATTTCCGCTCTTCTTGAAAAAAATAGGAATTAACACATGCCTAAAATCACTGCCAATCACAATTTGAATTTCCGTATAATCACTAAAAACGTCATGTAGTGAAAGACACATGAAATAAAAACCTCTTTGACGACGTACTAATCGATATTACCTTTATATCGGAAAAAACAAAAACCCTTCAAAAATGTAAATAACAACCAAGCCATAGAGGAAGAGGGATGGATATATTAGAGGAGATTGAGACTTTTGACGTATTACCTAAGACGGAGGTATTTTACCATCCTTTGTGCCAGCTTTATTCCAAGTATCATATTGTATTAATCGTTTACCGTGAATACTGCTTTCTTGATACTGGGTTTTGATATTTGCTTTCTCGATGTGTTTGCTGCAACAATGCCTGGGACACCATTGGGAACAGAAGTTGTGACAACTAGCAGGACAAACCATCTTTGATCGCACAGTTAACGACGTTGATGAAGGTGGGTAGTCCTCCATCTGGCAACACGATGCTGGGCAGTGACCATGGCAGATAGGATGGCAGTTAGCTGGGCATGGCAAGGCTACAGTGTACGATGCGGTATCACGAGCTACGCCTGTCTGAGTGTTTGAACAACATCCCTCTGGACAAGTGTTGTAGCACACCTTGAAACAGATGGGCGGGCAATGTACAGGCTCAGGAGGTGGACTGGGAACGTAGAGCGAAGGAGGCGAAAGTTTACAGCAGCGAACAGGACAGTCTAGGACGCAGAATTTAGAGCAGAGAGGAGAACAAGAGGGTGATGTCTCCTGAACTGGTAAATCCTGCTGAACCGGTGAGAACAAAAAAAACGTGATATGTTTGCAACAAGTTAATCTAGAGTTTTAATGCTGCTTTAACACAGTTACTGTCAGCATCAGCATCAATAATAACAAAAACAGCTACTTTCTACTGCCTGGCGCCTTACGAGAGACGATGTAAGACATGCGCGATTTAACAAATTGGCGTCAGCAGGCGAGTGGTTCCACAGTAAACTTTGACAATGTTATGACGAAATTTGTCATCAGTAAGAGGACAGACGCATAAAAAAACTGACGTCAATTTGTTTTTTACAATAACAAGGCCCAAAATGGTCAAATGCCGGGATTAAATGAGGTGAAAAGACATTGTAAACTTGCGGTAAACAAAGATAAATGAATTTTATTCAAAATGACGCGAACATTGCCAATAGATTTTCTCGCTATTTGACTGGCTACTTAAAAAAGTCCATAAAATCTCATTGGTTAAAAAGTTGACAGTTTGACAGCTTAAAGTAAACTTTGCATAAATTAAACTTTTATCCGTCTGTACTCTTATTGATGATAAAAATGAGCCAATCAGCGCGCGAGAAATTAGATAGTTATTTGTAAAAATGTAATTTATTATCCGTTTTGGATCAGTTTTACAGTACTTATCTCATAAAGCGGTCATAACCTTGGAAAGCTGGGGTACTGCAGACTGTTGTATTTGCTGATGTGTCTTGGTTTTCATGTTCTTCACACAGCAGTAGTCAGGACAAGTGTCGACGCATTTACCATCACAGTCAGAGAGACATGGTGCATAAGCAACCTTGGGCTGAGGCACCGAACCAGGGGCATCACCTTTGAAAAGATAAATCAATATACATACTACTTACGTATGTTGGCTGAGTCATAAAATTTCATGCCTGAAGACGGACACATCTAGAGCTCTTATGCCTCAAACCAACGAACTTATTTAATGAAGAAGTTTCTGAAATAAAGGGTTCTCTCTACTTGGGCAAAACTTTTAGGTGATGCATCATATGCATCTTTCCCGTTGTTTTAATTGTGTTTTTTGAAAATATGTGGATGAAGTTGCAAAATGCGAAAGTTTATAATTTCATACTGAACTGGTTTCCTCACCTCCACAATAACCCCACAGCTTGTCCACGTCATAGTTGTAAGTAGTGGCACACCAGGGCTTCGTTTCGTCTTGAGTTGTACAAGTCGTGTACATTTTACCGCTATATCTGAATGGAAAATGGCAGCAGTTACCATTTGAATTGCCGCCGTGGCATAAAAAGCAACTTGCACAATATCCCCATTGCTTATCGGCGTCATAATTAGCAGTTGTTGCGCACCAGCGGAAGCCTCGCTCAGCTCTTGTACAGCGGTGTTGCGGATTTCCTTGGTAGATGAATGGGAACATACAACAAGCGCCTTTTGAGGTACCATCATGTGTGGGCATGCAGCCTACATGTTAAAAACACATTAAGGGCTATTTCAATTTGTGCACAAAAAGATTGTGCCAGTTGCAAAGCGGCAAAATGAAACAATTTCATACATTAAAGGAGGCCAATTTAAGAAAAGCAAACACAAGACCAGCAGCTGTTAAGAAGGTTCTATCTGGCAATTTCTTCGTATTACACCAACAAATCAATCGATCAGCTCCATACATTAAAGGAATTACAAGGTTTTGGGAAAACGTTTAAGCCGTGGTCTGGAGTTGTTCAAAGTAACTGAAGATTAACATGATCAAGGACCGAATTTTTTCAGGTTTAGTTCTACTTTTCTAACATTTAAGCCCCTATTCTGTTTATACTCTTTGTCTTCCAGAGTTAGCTTTGAATAATTTATGTTAAACTCTAGCTACAAAACAATAAAAGCGAGAATCACTTTACTTTAAAAGGTTTTTCTACGTACCCCTATTTTTTTCTGGGATAGCTTTTATCGACCTTTGCACAACAACGGCCACGTGTTGCAAGATTTTTTCATTTTCTCAAAGGTAACTTTATTTATTTTTCATTTCCCTTACACAAGCAATTAACCGTCATTTGTTCCTAGCCGGGGAAAGATAAAGGGTTCGCGAGTTACTCCCTCTCAAGTTATTTTTAGATGTAATTTCCAATTTCCAGTTCTCCCGCAATAATTTAACCGCGTAGGTTACGCATATCATTTCATGGAGTATGAAAATTTCGCGTATTAACGCCGCTTAACCGGGCTGTCAGCATGTAAAGTTTGCGTCACAGTATTGGCTATTTCCAGACCCTCTCGGAATACTTGAACCGGGAGTGATCAAGAATAACTTGAGAACGATTGCCTTGGGAATGAGGCTTATCTAAGAGGTCAACTTGACCTAACTTTACAACATTTTTGCTGTCACTTCGTGGATCTAATATGAATTGAAAGGAATTTGGCCTGCAATGAAGAGGGCATATATATTCATCGACAATAAAAGCGATATAGAAACTAAAACCAAATGATTTAAAATCATACCTTGACTAATGAGCAACACTGAAAATAAAGATAGAGATATTTTCGTTAATCTTCCCGTTGTATGGATAAGGTATTAAATATATATAGAGGACAATACATGGGCGCACGTAGATGGTCAGCTTGATATCTCACGGGCAAGCGCAGCGAATGAGTTAGATATAAAGTTGCACGCGAGAAGAGAAATGCCATATCTACAAGCAATCATGTATCATCTTGTTTATTATATGAAAATGCTAATAACGACGTTTTCGACGATTTATCAGAAGATTTTCGAACACTTTCATAAGATTCTTTAAAAGTTGTCCTAAGGCCACACGAACATTTCTCAACATTTTCTGAAAATTTCCCGACATTATCGAAGATTATTGAAGATTTCCGAAGATAACCGAAGATTTCAGAAGACTTCCAAGGAAGATCCGAAGATGTTTCGATCACAAACCAACAAATGTAAGTACAGTTAAGGGTCAAACATGATAAAAAACATTACGCCATCGATATCACACAGTGAAATTCTCGAAATTTTACACGTGTTCACTAACGGCTTTTCTAAGGGTTGGAATGTATCACGCTCGCTGTCTCTGTTATAAAAGACGTTTACAGTTTTGATTTTGCAACAATTGGTTGTGCAACAGTTGCATATTCTTTTCAAGTTTTCAGTAAGTGTCTTATATTGAGTTCATCCGCCAAAAAACATGGCTGACCGATTGATATTCTATTTGTCCGGGGAATATTTATTATAAGCAACACCATCCTTTTATGTTAAGAAAGAGTTACTAACCTGGTACTAGAGGGAGTGTTGGAATTGGAGGTAGTGTTGGTAGGGTAACAGATCCAACCATCGGTTGTTTGGTGGGAGGTAAAAAGCATGGAGGTTGGGCACCAGGTGTGTGAGTGACTCCTGGTGGTGAACATGAAGGTGGAAAAACTGGGGGAGGGATAGGTGGTGGAGTGGAATGAGAAGGACGAGAAGTGGGTTTGCAAGTAGATTTTCCTGGCTCTTCAGGACCACATGGTGGAGGTGGTGTAGTAATTGGAGGAAGCGGAGGTGGTAGAGGTGGTGGAGGAGGCGTAGACGGAGTAGGCGGAGGTGAAAGCGGAGGAGGTGGCACGGAAGGAGGACGGGTAGGAGGCGGAGGAGGGGGCAGGGGAGTAAGCGGAGGTGGAGGTGGAGGAGGCGGAGGTGGAGGTGGAGGAGGAGGCGGAGCAGGAGGCAGAAGAGGAGGGGGGAGAGGAGGCACAGGAGGAGGATGTGGAGGCACAGGAGGAGGAGGTGGCGGAGGAGGCGAAGGAGGCGCAGGAGGCGGAGGAGGGGACACAGGAGGCGGAAAAGAAGGCCGAGGAGGAGGGGGAATAGTGGTAGGAGGTAGTGTCGTAAATGGAGGTGAAGGACGAGGTAAAGGAGACGACGGAGGCTGCTTAAGGATAGTAGGATTAGCTGGTGAGCATGGGCGACGTGTCGTTGTGGTAGGAGAGACAGTGGTGACTTCTGAACCACATGGTGGAATAGTGGAAGGGAGCTTAGTTGTTGTTAAAGGTGGAGTAGGAGGAGGGGGTGGAGGAGATGGCGGAGGAGATGGCGGAGGAGGAGGCAGAGGAGGGGGCGGAGAAGGAGGCGAAGGCAGAGGAGGAAGTGAAGGAGAAGGCGGGAGTGGAGGCCGAGGCGGAGGAGCAGGCGAGGGTGGAGGAGGAGTTGGAGGAGGAGGCGGAGGTGGAGGTCGAATAGGAAGTGGAGGACGAGGCGGAGGTGGAGGGGGAGGAGGAGGGGAAGGAGGCGGAGGAGACGGAGGAGGAGGAAGAGGAGGAGAAGGAGGATGAGGAGAGGGCAGTGTTGATACCAGTGGTGGAGGATGTGGATGAACAGGGTGAGGAGGAGGAGGAGGAGGAGGAGGAGGGGGTGGTGGAGGTGGTGGCGGCTGTGTCGGTGGTGGGGACGGTGGCAGAGGTGGTGGTGAGGGAGGAGTGGTTGGCCTCGGAGAAGTAGTCAACGGTGTTCTTAGTGTCGTTGGCTTTGTAGTTGTACCTACATGGTGCAAAGGCAACAATGATAAATATTAAATATGAGGCTAAAAATGCTCTTAAAAGTGTCAAATAGTTGTTGGTTAACTAAAGTTTCGGGCTTAGCCCTTTTTCCGTAGGTGAAAACAAATGGTAAATATTAGAATTTCTCTTGTATTCGCCTTAACGTTTTCCCTTAGTTAGTGTTACCGGTAACGTGAGATTACATTGTCTACCAATCAGCTGACCAAGATATGAACGTACTGAAATTGCAAGGAGGCCCTTGCGCAATTCTTATTTACACGAGGGTAGTATTGCCTGTTCATTTCAGTTTGTATTTAAATTAATTTTTTCAGCATGATTACTTTTTATTCTCTCTAGTTCAGTCTGAAAAAGTTTAAAGAACGATTAAAGAGAGGTGCCGCGTATGTGAGGAAGATTTGTTACGTTTATCGACCTTCATTCGTTCATTCATTCATTCATTTGCCTTCTACACGGAATAAGGATCAGTTACAAACAATTGTAGAAAGGTACTAACGAGGTTAAAAAATAAACTGCTTACATGATTGTCCTATGGTAGTCCAGAGGAGTGCTTGTGAAAGTGACTTCCTTAATTACAGGTCATATTAATTCCTGTAAAGTTGAAATCTGCTCTTTGGAGTTACTGATCTGGTAGATTTATTGAGCAAAATCGTGGAGTTTCTTTGTGTTTAAAACGTGCAATGTAAAACAAGATATTCACATACTTGATTTTGGTCTTGAAGTCACTGTAACTTGAATAGAATGGTCGCAGTGCAGACCAGGAACTGCATACACTATCTTCCTTCCGTCCAAAAGAATTTCACGTTTTCCATAGGGATCCTTTGCCCAAAATGTAACAATTTGACCACCTACCAGGTTTGGCGCGGTCTTGTCAAGATAAAGCTGTTGAACATCGCCCAAATTATCCATTACCTGGAAATTACATCCAAAGAATAACTTTGACATAGCGGCGGTGTTGTAAAGAAAACTGAAATCGGGCTCTGGAAGTATCAGTATTGTGTAGTGAACAGGATTCATCCTAAATCAATACAGCAACAATTATGAAGACGTGTGGACTGGTCAGTCTGTTAAGAGCACGTTTCATTTTTGACAGTTGACCCAACAGACACGGCAGTGGAGTAGGGTAGGCTACTTCTCTCGTCCCAGAAGGAAACAAAAAAACGGGGAGTGAAACTGTTTCCGCATGAAGTTGAAAGCCATTTTGTTGTAAAAAAATACAATTTTTTTGGCTGAATTTTGCCCCGTTATTAAATTCCTGGCAACTTAACATTTTGTCCTACAATGGGGTTTACAATCAAGGGCCGCGCACCTACAGTTTTTGGTCATATTGTAACTACAACAACAATCAAAACAAAAACAATAATAAGAATAACAACAGTAGTAATAATAGTGACTACAATAATGGTAATTATCATATCTATAACACAGTTCTCAATTGTGATTGGTTCTCCGCGTGCCTATTTGTCACGTAATCGGCGCACGATCACGTGGGTATCCAACTACATGTATTCAATTTGAACTTTTGTAATTGGATGCCCACGTGATTCACACGTCAATTACGCGCGCTTTAATGTTTCCTGCAGTTTTCAAAATTTATGAAAAGCACTCTTGAGCGTTTTCGCTCAAGAGAAGTTCTCAAAAGAGATTTTTAATTCCGAAATTTGTTAGATTAATTAGTAATTGGGCCTCGTGTCGTACAATTCAGGGAGTAATCGTGCTCGTTATTTCAAATCGTCTTTGCGCTTCGCGCTCGTCCGATTTTGAAATTACTCACGCGATTACTGCCTGAATTGTACTCCACTCGGTCCGATTACTGTTACAAATGATAGTAATATTAGTAGTAATAGCAATAGCAATAGCAGTAGCAATAGCAGAAGCAATAGCAATAGCAATAGCAGTAGCAATAGCAATAGCAATAGCAGTAGCAATAGCAGTAGCAATAGCAATAGCAGTAGCAATAG